AAAAAAAAAAAAAAAGCGGTGGAAGAAAAGAGAAACCTCAACAAATAAAATTCTTTTGACAACGCAGTGTTGAAGGAATAAGTGAGATTTCTGGCAAAATCACCAGGACTCTGAAGACAAGCTGACTGCTGCAATATTTATTACTTTGCTTTCATGAAACCTCTGACATCAAGGGCTCTCTTAGTGACTGATTTTTGTCAGGATAATGCTGCAGGAACTGGAAGTGACACATGATTTTTTTTGGACACGAAGCCTGTGCATAATGGCATGAGAAAGAGGACATAAAAAAGCCTGCCCTGAAGCAGCTTAATGTGGCCCTGGAGAACTGAGCTGTTATCACTGCTTACGGACGTAGCCACAGCAAGAGAAACTGTTACCAAAAAATGGACCCTGAAGTCAGACAGTTCCACATGGGGAAGATTTTCTGAGTTGTGCTCCCTTATTACAGCCTCGTGGAGGTTGGGACTGACAGGAGGGAATCAGGCTGAGGAAAATACCTCCAGAAATGAAATAGAAATGAGCTTTATTGGGTCAGGTCTATCCCTGTATTGCAATACTGCAAGACCACATGCAGCAACAATAAACGTGTTGAGCTTGACACACGTTGCTGGGGCTTGTGACAAGTGCTGGTGCAGAGTGCAATATCCCTCTGCTTATTCTTCTGTATTTCTGAGAGCAGGGCATGGAGGGTAAAAGGACACTGTGATGTGCCTACAGTGTGGTGACTGCAGCTCTTCACAAAACCACAAAACTAAAAAAAAAAGTATTTCCAGACTGGCCATAGTAGTATATAACCCCATGTGCAGCCAACTTTTCAAACAGTAGTTAGTACCTAATTACTACAGAGTGTCTAGGATTATGTGAATATAGAAAAGCTGGGGAATAAGTTAAGATGTAGTCTAGAGTAGTGCAGGATATTTTCAAAGTGAGTGATTGATGAAAACATTAACCACCCCTTTCTCAAATCCATAAGCAGCCTTGAAGAAACCTGCAGATCAATCTTTGGCTTAGGGGAGACACCTGTTCTACTTTTCTTCCCATCAGAAGGTTCCAACTGCAAACCAGAGGCAGAATGAGTGCTCTGCAGCAGAACTGCTGGTTTTAAACCTAGAGGCTGGTGTGGCAGCAAGATGCCACAATCTTCCCCGGCTATCTCAGTACATTTCTCTGTGTTGTACAAACACACCTTTCTGCTTTGCACCTCACGCAGTGAAATCATTCTTGCTTTCAGTGGGAATACGCTGAGGTATACAGTTGGTATTTATATATTTTGGTGGAAAAGAAGGTGAGCTCTTTTCAGACCCCTAACTATGTATTTATTCAAATCAGATTTTGTTTTGACTTGCCTAATATTGGCTGTACATTGAGATGTGGGCTTTACTCAAGGCATAAATCTGCCTGAATAAAAAAACCAGAACAAAATGTTTTATATTTACTTATATTGTAAGTGTAGAATACCTTCCTCAATGATAAATACAACTTCTACTAGCATAGGGAAGTACTGTTGTTATTGGTCAATAGATTACTCTGGAATGTGCTGCAACTCCTTTTGTCTTTTTTGTTACATAGAAAAGGAAAAATAAGGAACTACTAACTCCTGAAACATCCTTATGTGTGAGGCCTTTAGTGGGAATTTATAATGCATACCTTCTCAAAGAATGTGACAGGATTTCCAAGTACTGAAATGGCAGACACTGAGAGATGTGGTAAATTAACCTGCGCGTGAAACCGCTGACTCTGTCATTTCTGTTCATTGACTCATTTCAGTTGAATTGACAAGGCAGGATTTCTCCCTGGATCTTGATACATTACATACACCTGTCAAGCAGAAGCTTCAAGCCAGCCCTGGGGGAACATCTTTAAAAGACACTCCTGCAATACCAATGAACTCTCCATCCATTGCCAGTCTGTTTCTTTCAAAGGATCATCGATTTAAGAACACACCGACCAAACCACTGCCATTTTCACAGACCATACTCCGGGGCAGAGTATGATAATACCTGGGTTCGGACCTGCAGCTCTTCTTGCACACCCACAGGTAAGGGTAGATCTCAGCAGAAGTCAAAGGGCACTACCCAGTTGCAAAAAGTGTACGCACAGAGGGCAAGGCCCCCTCGCCAGTCAGTGGCTGGTGTGTTTGTGGTGGTAAGCGTGCTTCTGAAGGAAGTCTGGCTTTCAGTTACATAAAGCTCCAAGTCACTATGATTTGCAGCATGAGCGTTGCTGATATCTCCTAGACAATGTCACAGTATTCTGGCCCAACTGCTTGGCTAAGACCTAGGCATACAGAGTACAGGCACGAGCCCAGCTCCACGGGCTGCCATGAACAGCCTCCAGGTTGTCCCAAGCACCTGGTCCCCTGACCTCTTTCTCCCAAAGAACCCTGTAGTGTCTGACATTTCAGATGAGGACTTGCCTAACCTACAGTAGGGAATACACCAGGGTTCTGGGGACTCCATTTTCTAACTGCTGCTCTGAGTCAGGCCAGCTTCTTCTGGGCACACGTGTGAGTAACAAGGGCACAGGGAGCTCATGCAAGAGTCTTGCGTGTTCAACTGGGGCCAGGGGAGACCCCCTCCCCTCCTCCGGAGGTGTGGAGTCACTGGGTCTGCACATGCACCTCTCTAAATCCTGTCTGCCTGTTCAGGAATGTGGATACCAGCTCAGCCATGGGCTAATAAAGCAGACAAAGTGTTGCCTTGCGCTTCAGAAAGAACATCTTAACCCCAGCAGGACTTCACTGACCGCTTTTATGCAAAACCTCTTGTTTGTTTTGTACAAGATGGGAGGATTCAGCTGACAGTTTAAACTGGGCTAAAATGTGTCACTAACTTTTTTTCCTTTTTATTGTATTTTTGCAGTGTATGCTGGCTCATAAATTTACGAACTATTTTTAAAGGACTCCTTACAAAAATAAGCATATTTGGGCGGTTTAAATTTGTTCTTAATAAGTGGAAAGATTTACTAAAACAGGCCTGATGTGATGACTTGGGAGGGATTATTCACTATTGATGCCAATATATTCCAGACAGCCTGAAGAATTAAGCACTCTGGGTGTTGAAAGCAACCTGAATATCACCTAAAACTTGTGCTGAACGGAGCTCTTGTCTGCAAGGGGTGAGAGTGTCAGGAATCCAGTGCAAGTCGGGGGACTACATGGTGGGTGAAGGCAGGCAAGACCTAACTTTGCGTTTTTATGTGAGCTTTTTAGATGGTGATGTAGCCAAGCTCTGCAAAGAAATCTGTCCAATAAAGCTGTGAGGCAAAGCACAGCTTTGATAAATGGTGCGCTTCACAACTGCATTCCTACCAAGTGCTGCTGTCACTCACGAAGCAAATTTATCGTATTTTATTCTAAACTGTGTTGGATTCCAGGTGTTAGGAATTTTCCCCTGACCTTCTTATCCTGCTTGTGGTTTCACTTTTCTCTAAGGAAACAGATTTAACCACTTATAATCAGAATTCGCTAACAGTTTTTAATGATGGTCTCTCAGATGGGAAAGGAATCCCAAGGAATTGCAGACGCTCCCAATGGATCAGTACATGTAGGTAGCACTGGCATAGGTTGAAGCAGAGTCCTGGCAGGACAGCACATCCTGTGAGAAGGGCTTTCCAGTGAGATCATTCAGTCACTGATGTGTTAAGAAACAGTCAAAGGGAATGCCAGGAATTATTCCCCAGGATGAAGTACGACCAAAGCTAGCGTTGGTGTAGGAAGCTTTTTTTTGTAAAACAGGCAGGGGCAAATCCATTTGATGTATCTGCCTGTATAAGTCTGAGTACTCTGCAGAGGGCAGAGGCGTCAGTATATATCACATCCATGTCCTGTCTCTGATCAGTTTTCCTAAGTGAATATTTTTCCAGATCACAGTCCATGGTCAGCTGGCAAGCAGTACGAAGCTTATTGTCCAGTAGTGCTGGCTTTCTTCCTCATGCCCACCTGTTATAAAGTAATATAGATTGTTAAATACCTATTTAAAGGTGATCTTGATATATTACTCTTGCTGTAATAGCTACAAGGATGTTATATTCTTGTGAACGGAAAGAGAAAAGGCTCATTTCATTGCAAAGGAATAGACTCATCCAATGACAGAGCCTTGAAAATAATTTTTGGACTTAGGGTGGATAATAATTTATTTCATTTATGTTGGAAATAATTCTGTACATACCCAATTCTTTATGCATGAGCTTTTGTTTCCTGTTACTCTCTTTGGTCAAGTGGTGTTGCTATTCCAGACCACGTGTCACCCTCACCATCAGAACAAATGACACAAACTACACTGACCACTCAGTGACCACTGACCACTTGTGCTAAAAACATTTACAAAATTTACTGACATTTTGCTGGCAGTGTGACAGTGCATGAATTCACTTCTTTTTACCACACTCATTGGCATGGTTTACTAACAGGCAGGTGAAAGCCTACACTTCAGGAAGATACTGCAACTGCAGAAACCAGACTTGAAAGATTAAAATATTTATCTCCCATTAAATGAGCGGGTCATAATAGGGGGCAGAAAAGTGAGTTTGGAGCATTACTCGGATTTGTGACTAAGGCCACTCCATCTAACTGCACCATGAACAAGCTACATGACAAGATTCAGATATCAAACATTTCCAAAAGTGCTGCTAGTGGCATTGCTTTTTTTTCAATTTTCTTAACTACAGATATCAGCAAGTCTGAAATGTGCCAGACTGAGGTCCAGATCTTTCTGTGATCTGTAGAAGGGTGTCTGCTAAGAAGACTGCAGAAAGTTCCACTTGGCCTGTCCTCTTGTATGACATAGCTAGCCATCAAAAGCACAAATTCCAAATCGGGTTTAACATCTTTCCTTCCACAGTTATAAAAAGTGAGAACAGCATGAGGTGCTTGAGGTCTTACCCCAGGAAAAAAGTTCTTTACACCAAAATAATGGAATTTTTTTAGCTTTATTTTTTGTTGTTGCTAGCATGTTTGTGAGGAACAATTCAAAGATGTCTTGACTACAATGAATAAGAGCTAACTGCAAGATGAACACTTTGACATAATTTGTTTTATTTCTATTTTTCTCTATCAGATAGTCACCTTTGAAACCAAGGCCTGGAAAGTTTCAGCTAGGGAAATGATGCCAATTCCAAGTCTGGACTCTCACTTCTCTTACACACACAGTTTCCCCTGTTCAAAGTTAGGGGCTTGCTTGGCCTTGCTGACAGCTAAACACTAGCCAGGAAAGTTGGGATCCAGACGCCTGTTTGGATTACACACTATCATTTCCATCATATAGAGCACACAAGGATGTCAAGATCCCATTCCCAGTGTTCCCCATTGGTAACACAGCCCCATGGTGCGTGGTGGAAGACAGGCTGCTGGGGTCAGGACCTTTGTGTTTAGGTGTGTAAGGACTCCTCCTTTGGGAACTAAACACTTCAGTGAGAGCTGGGTCTGGCCATAATTCTTGGATCTTCCTCTCTTCTTCTCTTGTGAACATAAAAAAAATAATTATTAGATTTTCTTACCAGCCTAATTACTTTATTCTGTGCTATTTCTTCATAAGAAGTTATTCCGGTTAGAAGATCTGATTCACATTTGTTCGCTATGTAAAGGGAGGTAAATTGTACAGGTATTTTAAAGTCCTTGGTGGTAAGAGACAATCAGCCTCTTCCCTCTGCCCCAGTCCTTAGCTCTTCCTGCAGCCACTTCACTGCAGGAAAAGGAATTGGCTAAATCCATATGAAGAAATTCTGGGGAGGAAACCACACTCAGCTGAAAGATACGTTTTAGCTTTTGGATATAGTTTCAACTTTCAAGATAACTATTCCTTTGAGTGGCTCTAACTATAAATCCCAAAGTACCCGCAAGCAGTTGGGTAGAAGCCAAAAATGCCAAGTCGAAGGAAAATAATTGTTTTCAAATGGTGACAAACCTGCAAGGTCGGCAGAGAACAGAGGAACTGTGTTGCTGAATGGAGATAGCCCTGTAACGCAGGACTGGGAGTTCTGTACACTAAACAGAGCCTAACATCTCCACAGGGTGTTCAGCTGCTGCAAATGCAGAAGGGAACTGCTCTGCACTGGTCTAACTCACAGGGCAGAAATGATATTGAAAGAGAATCTAAAGACATCGGGTTTAGACAGAGTGTGTGCTGCTAATGCTTTGGCTTGTTCTGGTTTTGTTTCCCAGAGGTGAAGAAATGACAGGTTTTGCATTTTTAAAATTATTGCAATGAAAATAATTTGACAGCTTGGTCTGGAGATTTCTGTGTCATTATGAAATGATGTTTGAAATTGTGCAAGGCAATACAATAATTATACAGTCAAGTACGTCTAATGATACTTCAAGGGGAGGCTGAGTTTGCCACTGGTTTTGGTCTGGATTCCTTTGCGCCCTGGACAGATGCCTCCGTGCTGTGGGAGCACACTGCGAGCGGTGCCGAAGCTTCGGGAACAGCATTGCTTTTGAAACTGTAGTTGCAAGTCATGTGGAATCAGCTTGAGGGAGCCTGGTGATTACTTTCTAAGGATATCTACATATAAAAAAAAGTATGCCTGGTGGTATAAATCAGCATAGCTCTGCTGACTGCAGCATAGCTGCATCCGTCTACTCCAGCTGAGGATCTGGACAAATGTACTTTGGCAACACAGAGGGCTGAAAACTACCAGAACACCTTTAAAGCTAATGTGCCAGCAAGCAAGAGAGGCATTCCGCTGTGTGGAGTAGACTTCTTTCATCTGTGGTAGTTAAAGCAGAAAAGTGAACTTTAGATTCTCACAATTTTACTGCATCTGTTAAAACAGTATTGGCTTTCAACAATGAAATGAGTATTCAGGCCAAGTGTCTCTGCAGAATTTCGGGCACTCCATGAACGGATAAAATTTCAATTGCAGAAACAAGAGAAAGTACCAGACACAAATGCACCACGTATTACATTTAAGGAAAGACAGTGAAGTGGGCAGGTTATACCGTGGGAATAGGCAGCAGCTGGTGGCTGACCCTGGTGTTATGACTAAGTCACCGACGAGGCCACAAAAAAATTAAGAAAATTAGTAAGTAAAGGCAGCCTGCCTTTAAGAAATCCAGAAGGGCTGGTCTGTGGGCTAGCAGCAGGGAGCTGCTAAGATCTGGGTTTGGGCTCCAAGCCGGGTCCCCTGTTCCCAGGCAGACGGAGTTGGCAGCAGCCTGTATCACTCTCTGGTGGCCCTTCGGGCCAGAAAGAGGAGGTATATTGGCAGCCCAGCGAGGGAACGGCAGCCAGCTCCCCTTGCCAGACATCAGGTTGCTACATCGGCGGTGAGAAAAAGCCTAGAGCAGGGCCCCTTCCATTCCGCAGGCATGGCGAGAAGAGGCACGGAAAAGACCTGCGACCGTGCCGTTGGGATAGGCGGCTCGGAAAGCCCAGGCCAGGTGGGACTCACCGGTCAGACGCCTGCACCGTCCTTCGGCGAGCGGTCCGGGGCCCAGGCGCTGCCAGGCCGTCCTTGCTGGCTGGCGTGCGGCAGAGCCAGGCGCTGGTGCGGCCTCGGAAGTGACTCACTCTCCCACCTGGCCAAAAGTCTTTGGGGCGCAGCATGGAGATTTCCTGAAGACATCTGTGCTTCAGCGGCTCCTGCGTCTGGAACAGCCTGCAGCTCTGGTTTCGCCATGCGCAGGGCTCCCTGCATATGTCTTTTCTCTTTTCCACTGCTGTTCTGGACAGGCCTCCTGCTCATCCTTTCACTTCATTAAAAGGGCCTCAGCCCCTCCTCCGGCATCTTAAAAGACAGTGCTGGGAAAGTCAGCAGTGACAGGAGTGACAGGCAGAACTGGAGTAACTACTGCACCCTTTTACTTAAAGCCCCTGCAATTACCTTCTTTTTAGGTGGGAATCTCTCTCAGTGATTATCTGGCTCTTCTGATTTTCATCAGCTGGAGAGCTGCATCTTTGGGATTATCCTCTCAGCATCCTTGTCTACCCCTTAATGTCACAGGCTTTGGCCAGTTAGTCCACTTAGAGCTTCTCTCAATTCCAGCCTCATCCTCCTGCAAGAGTAACTCACAAATAAAGCGAAGTGGGAGTTGCCATGTTAATGTGCTTTCCTTGAGCCCTCAGGGAAAGGTCCTGAACATGATTTCTTCCGCTTGGATGGAAAGAGGAATTTCTGTTAGAGCCTCCATGAAATTACAGTCGTCTTTTTTTATGAAATGTAAAACAAAGTAAATATTACCTTAGAGTCTCTTATTCGTGTGGCAATAAAATGAGACACTTCCTTGGAAATAAGTTTTAAGACATGAGTCTTGTAATGTTCATATTTATTGGAGTGGAGTTCACAGCTGACCTGAGGTCTGGAGGGTTTGGAAGCAACAGTCTATGTGAACTTCCAATTTTTTCTCTCCTTCTCCAGCACATGAGGTGCAAAACTGGTCAGTTATTCAGAGACTTCCCCACCCTTCGTAAGCTCGTGTGCTCATATATCTCTCATGGTACATAAAGAATGACATATTGCAGTGAATCTGCTGAGAATAGCTTGTAAAATACATCATTATATGAATCAGCCTCATTAGAAGTCTCCTTCTCTCATGATTTAAAACAGACACAGCACTTGCAGGAGTGGAAACCAGTGAGATTTTTTTTTTTCTCTCCTGCTGGCAACGTTGTGCTCAACCAAATGTTGAAACAGAAGAAAATAATTCTCTGAACTCAAGGCCAGAAGTAGAAAGCAAGTACGGCATTACCCTGATGCCTTTCTGGCATAATTAAGGTCTTGGGTGTTTCCCTGGATATATGACTTTCCAGCTTCATTAATAAAATATTATGTCGCTCTTCTAAACAGCACAAAGCTGCATGCTTTGCATACTCCAAATCCCCCTGACTCAGGACCCTGTAACACCTCACATTCAGCATCTTTAGCCATTCCAGGCTTTTCTCCCACAGCTGCTGCTGTGTTTATGAAGGGGATTATACAACACGGTGCCTGTGATAGCAGGAGACAAGGCTCGGCAACCCAGGAGGCCTCTCTCAGTCCTATTTTATGCAAGGACTGGTGCACCAGGTGCCGTGGCTGCATGACTCAGACCTTGTTCAAATTGCTTGTATGCTGGTGCAACCACTTGCCAACGAACTCAATGAAGTTAGTGTTTTACCTTAGACAAGACTGCAGCAGATGCGATCCAAATGACACACCGTGGATCGCAGCAGCTCTGGGTTAGCGGCCACGTCATGCAGGACAGACACATGGTAGAAAAGGCATGGCTCTTTGTTCCAAGGCAATGGAATAAACTCTTTCACTCCCATTTGCTCTTGGCATATTGTAGAGCTCACTAACAAACTGCAGGTATACAAGCAACTTTTTATTATTTCTCTCTTGTCACTTCAGCATTGGAGAATGTAGTATTTCTTGCTGTTCTTTCTTTTAAACCATGCCAACACACAGCCTCCACACCATGTTTTGGCTTATAAGCCTCTGGCTGCACTCTTCTGAATCACACTGATTTTTTAATTAACTGCAGCAGGTACAATTACTCAGCTATTGGTTGCTCTGGTCTCCTAATGCTTCCAGCCATGTAACCCACAATCTCTCTCTGGTTTGCTCTTCATTGTTGGCTAAACACTGTGGTACATTTCTGTCTCCCACTCAAGATTTTGGGCCATGGACATCACCAGGAGCCTTGTCACCATCAAGACATCATGCCTTTGCAGGCAAGTTTATCTTGAGCTTACTTGTTTATTAGACTCTGCTTTGACTTTTGCAGAAGTAGGTCAGAATGTGCAGTCTGGATGAATTTTACTCACAGAGGTGATAAGCAGCTTCTGCTTGGCTCACGTGGGCTCCCAGAAAGCACCACAGGCTCTGCTTGTACCCACAGCTTTAGGCACTGCCCTTGTATCCTACAGCATCCTCAGGCTGCTCTCGAACCTGCAGTGGCTGAAAGCAGAGTCCCGTTAGTCCCCTCGGTGCATCTGTAGGCTGGCTTTCAATACCAGGTTTAGCTGAATGTCATAGGCCTGCTAGGATAGTCTGAGGCTGCACTAGATAAGCCACAGAGAGCCTGGGCTTGGGAGTCCTGCAGCTACACTAGGGAAGGAAGGTCTTTAGTCTCTCCTGTGCACTGGACATCTGCTGTTTTTTTGTTGGTAGCCAATAAAAATCCCTGGTTTTCCTTCTGCTGTAGTTTGGCTGTTCTAGCTAGTGATCAGTGGATGGTGACAAGGATTCAGTGAAGTTTAAAGATGAGGAAGGGTTTGCAAAAGTCCACGTGCTCTTGTGCAACTGCACCTCGCTCAGGTGGTGGCATTTCAGGGCATAGGACAAGCAAATTTCCTCTCTGTTTCTAGACTCGATCATCCTTTCCCACACATCTACCTTATTTTTCATAATTTGCAGGAATCTTTTTAACAGCAGTTCACATACCCTTTGTATCACTGCTGGTTTCGCCACTGACAGACGCGGGTTTGCTTTTCTTTATCACTCACTTTGTTTATCAATAACTGTTTTACAAGACCTGTTGCGTTTTAGTTGTGATTTATGCCTCGGGACTGGGCACCCCTTGCAATGCAAGTCTTGCCTCCTGCCGCTTGGATTTGATGGGGAGGATCTGATTCCCAAAGCTGGGATTTCACAGCTGTGGTCTGACTGGCTTCCTATCAGCACATACAAAAGAAGGGAGCACAGAGCAACAGCTAAATACCACTTCAAACTTCAGACTTCTCAGCTGGAACAACTGTTGTGGTTTGAAGTTGTTTTGTTAACTTCTTTGGCTAATTGATAACATCTGCATCTCACCACCCTTCCTTGAGTCTCAAGCTACTTCCAAATAGATCGGATAGATAATACTGTGGCAGATCTCAGTTTCTGTATTAGCGATATATCGTTACGCTTTCAGAAAATTGTCTGAGAACTGGGGGGCGTCTTCAAATAATGCCTCCTTTATAAAGGTTTCTTTCACACAGTTGCAGAAACAAGCCCAGAGACACTAATAAAACCTCATGCTATTTATTTGGCATTTCTCTCATGATCATGTTCAGATAAAAGAACTTTTAATTTCACACTTTTTTCCTCTGTTTTTCCCTACCACACTTTCTAAGCTTGAAATTTACATTTGGGCTTTAAAATATTGGAATTAGCTTTTATTTTTCATTAGTTTTAATTTTCTTTGTATTACAATAGATGGGTCAGGAACTGGTATACGTGATATTTTAGTAAATAAAATCCTTGTATTCAGGATCACTCTTGAAGTCTGGTAATACACAGTGATACCATATAGGTCCCAAGGAGACATTATGGTTGTAATGGAAATATCATATATCTCATATCCCAGGTCTGATATATCAGCTCAGCAATAAAAAGAAACAGGATATTTGCAACTATATTTTAACAGGGATTTTGCTGTTACCATGAGAACACGGATTACTTAGAAATTTTGGTGAGAAAACTGTTTAATGGTTTCATCAATGTCTAACCCCAGGAGATTTCAGCTCTTTCACTGCTATTGAAATAGCTATTAATGCAGTGAAAATCAGAAACGTATGAGTGTGTTTCACTGGTGTCTTACTGTACATCTCAGACTTAGATCTCAGTACAGGTCACATGGTCCCTTCTATCATATTTCAGGATTCCCAAGGTCAGACCCGGGTTATGCCTAGAGACACGCACCCAGTATGAACTCTCCACAGCTTGACATCTTTCCAGTCTGGGCAGAGGTTCGCTCCTCCACCTCTTGCTGTTGGATGGTTGGGGCTGTTACTGAGCAAGGCCTAGAGACGTCCGCAGGCCCTGTGATGCGCGTGAAACTGACGTAAGCCAAGACTTGAAGGCTCAACGTTGATCAGCCAGCCAGGAGAGCCTCATGAATTTCCTTGTAAAAGGAATTTCTTAGGAATCAGGGAGACTTGTGTTACATAATCCTTTGAAAACAATATTTGATACAGGATAGGGCTATCCGATTTACGAAGTCCCCAACAGAACCTGCAAGATGCCATGAGCATTATTATTATTGCGAGTCTTTTATTTTGTGCCATTTCAGCATCTCTAGCATCTACAAAAGAGCAGATAAAACCCCAAATACAGATCTCTCATAACTTCACCTAATGCAAGCTCAACACATTTGGTCTTAATCTGAGTGCCTGGACTGGGATGAGTTCTGCAGGGCTGTAATAAAATAAATATTTTCCTGCACTGAGAATGGCTCAGCGAAAGGTTCAGTGTCAGGTCAGCACAGCAAGCTCTTTAACCACATTTTGCTCGACATGGACCATGTCTTTACCTAAGAAATTGTCACAGCTCCATAGCAGCTGGTGGAGTGGAAGTGATTTAAACCATTCACCTCTTGCTCATTTTAAATGTTGGATTTGGTCAGCATTTGAGGAAAACCGGGCAGTGGGTACAGCCCCAGCTTCCAGAAATAAAAATATATATCCACCAGGAGAAAAAAAAAAAAAAAAAAAAAAAAAAGGAACTTTCTGTAGAGCTTACTTTCCAGCTCAAATTAGATTACTTACAGAAACAAAGGGAATCAGCAGCCTTGCTGCAGTAGACTAGTCCCAGGTGAGTAATTGTGAGCTACTTAACAATTAGCAATATAGTGAGAGCTCTC